AGGTGGGTCTCGAACCCGCGGGCTCAGGCAATCCACTCACCTCAGCCTCCCAAATGCCCGAGATTACAGGCTGGGCCACCAAGCCCGGCTGGGCTTTTCTTTAAAGAGGAAAAAAACTTCTAGTCTGAGCCATCTGAAGGCCTTCCACTGAGGCCTGGACATTTGGAAAGCTGCATGCTTTGCATTGAAACCTCAGTTGTAGCCGGGCTCGGTGGCTCAGCCTGTAATCCCGCGCCTTGGGAGGCTGAGGTGAGTGGATTGCCTGAGCCCGCGGGTTCGAGACCCGCCTGGGCAGCGAGACCTCATCTCTACAATAAATCAAAAAATTAGCCGGGCGTGGTAGCGCATGCCTGTAATTCCGGCTACTTGGAAGGCTGAGGTGGAAGGATCGCCGGAGCCCAGCAGGTCGAGGCTGCGGTGGCCGGGAGCGGCCACTGCACTCCAGTCTGGGCGACAGAGTGAGACTCCAACTCACAAAAAAAAAAAAGAAAGAAAGGAGGGAGCACTACAGCAACTGAAACTGGATATGACAGGTTTCCCTCCCAGAGAAGTGGGACTCTCAGTCCCATGCATTCATTTGCATTATAAAGAACTATTATTGTTAAAAAAAAAAGAGAGAGAGAAAGAGAGAACTATTATTCTCCAGTCCCCGTGCCAAGGGCTAGAGACACAGAGGAATAAGTCTCCTTGCATTGGTGGACAAGGAGTTGAACGAACACAAAGAGGCAGTAAGAGAAGATGAAAGCACAGAATATGGTGCCAACTCAGGGCCCAGGCACCAGTGCAGAATGGGGAGAAGGGGGAGGGGGACCCAGAGCTTATACCCTAGTTAGCTGTGAACCCATCAGCACTATCTATTCTCTTATCCCATGCCCCAGTGATCAGTGGCAGGCACCTCTTTTTTCACAGGTGGCAGGAAACCAAGCTGTGTTCAGGACAAAACTAACTTCCAGGCTAGGAGTGAATCGACCATCCACAGCAGGCTGCACTGTTCATCTCTGCATCTGTGTGCAACCCTAGATTCCAGGACTGAGCCTGAAAGGACTTTGCCACCCATCTCCGAATGCATGACAAGCAATGACCATGCCTTAGTCCAGAGCTTCTCAAACTCAACGTGCACTTGAATACCCAGAGATCTTGTTGAAATGCTGGTTCTGAGTCGGGCTCGGTGGCTCAGTCTGTAATCCCACACTTTGGGAGGCTGAGGTGAGTGGATTTCCTGAGCCCGCGGGTTCGAGACTCGCCTGGGCAACTTGGCGAGACCTCATCTCTACAATAAATCAAAAATTAGCCGGGTGTGGTAGTGCGCGCCTGTAGTTCCAGCTACTTGGAAGGCTGAGGTGGAAGGATCGCCGGAGCCCAGCAGGTCGAGGCTGCGGTGGCCAGGAGTGGCCACTGCACTCCAGTCTGGGTGACAGAGTGAGACTCCAACTCAAAAAAATAAAATAAAATAAAATAATAAAGAATAACTTCCAGCCTGGTGCAGTGGTTCATGCCTATAATCCTAGCACTTTGGGAGGCCAAGGTGAGAGGATTGCCTGAGCTCATAGGTTCACGCCCAACCTGAGCAACTTGGCGACACCTCATCTCTACAATAAATCAAAAAATTAGCCGGGCATGATGGCACGTGCCTATAGTTCCAGCTACTTGGAAGGCTGAGGCAGAAGGATCATCTGAGACCAGCAGGTCAAGGCTGCAGTGGCCATGAGAAGCGTGCCACTACACTCCAGCCTGGGCTACAGAGTGAGACTATGACTCAAAAAAATAATAATAATAACTTCGGGTCTGTGCAGTGGCTGACGCCTGTAATCCCAGCACTTTGGGAGGCCAAGGCGAGAGGATTAACTGAGCCCACTGGTTCGAGACCACCCTGGGCGACATGGCAAGGCCTCATCTCTATAGCAAATAAAAAAATTAGCCAGGCATACTGGCACACGGCCTGTAGTTCCAGCTACTTGGAAGCCTGAGGCAGAAGGATCCCTGAGCCCAGCAGGCCGAGGCCGCAGTGGCTGTGAGCGTGCCACTGCACTCTGGCCTAGGC